GTGTGTGTGTGTGTGTGTGTGTGTGTGTGTGTGTGTGTGTACATCTGTTGCTTTAGCTGGGGGTGCAGGGATCAGGGCAGGGGGCCAAGGCTTACATTTAAACTGTTCACATATGCTCGCAGAAAAGAGAGACGAGATAAGAGAGACATGGGTGGACATCTCAGATAATGTATTGGAGAAGGAGATTAGGAGCAGGGGAATGATCAAGAGAAACTGCACACACACACACTCACACACACGCAAACGTGCACATACACAACAAACAGGATCACAAAAGCAGTTTTTAAAGCACAATTCCAACCTCAAAGCCAGGAAAATCAGATAATCAGATATTAAAGATCAAATTTCTTTAGGCGTTCTGTGTGTATGTGCATTTGTGTGTGACACTGACCTCTGACTCGTGCATAGCAGCAGCCACACTTGGCCAGGACTTTACGGAACAAGTGTTGGCAGCCACAGCCTCTGTGGTGGCGATGGTGATGGTGGCCCCCTTTCATGCTGTTGAACCATGAGCTGAGGTGGGCATGGCCCGGGCACTCTTTCTCTCTCTCTATCTCTCTATCTATCTCTGGCTCTCCTTTTCTTCTCTTTTCTTGGTCTCTCTTCGTCACCCTCACACAAGTAGAGGTTTACTCCTCAAAAAGTGTAAATCCCCCAAAAAGGTGTCAGTTGATCCTCCTCTTCAGCTGACTGCACGCAGAGTTAAAACCCATATCCAAGAAACCAAGTGTAAGAGTCCCCAAAAGCAATAAGCCAAGAAGAAATCCGCACTCACAGGGCTTTGTATCTGATGATAAACAGTGAGAGAAACATTCCAGCAAGCTTATCGTTATGCTGAACGTGCTCCTTCTGTCTCTGTCTCTTTTTTCCCACTGCTTTCTTTTTGGTGCTGAGCTCTCGCCTCTGTGAACTGCCTGGTCAAATGACACACTGGGAGACTGCTTCAGAGAGAGGGGGGGAGAGAGAGCGATTGCAAGGGAAAGGGAACGAGAGAGAGTAAGGGGAGGGGTGAGAAGGGTGGAGTCTGTAGCTCTAGTCGCTGGCTATTCCAGGATAGCTTTCCCACTCCCATAGTTTTCTCTCTTCCCTCCTCTCAGCTGTTTTTTTCCTCTGCTCCCTTCTGTTTCCTCTCTCGTCTGCTGCCCCCCATCTTGTCTGTTATCCTCTTTTCTACATGGTTGAGTCTCATTTTAGCATAAGTAATGCTTAAAGGGGCTCTCACATAGCCAACTCCGAGATCAGATGAAATGACACGCTCTCTTGTGTCTGCTCAGAGCTGGCTGTTGAAATAGTAACACCCAGGTCTGCAGTGATACACGGTGCTATTTACAGCAGAATGGCCATGTTATGCTGAAGGTGTCATGCATTGTCCAGCCAGTATCAGACTCTTTCTGACAGTTTAGGAATGTTTCTTCGTGGGTTGTGGCTTAGAGTGGGCTTTTCTGGCTGGGACAGCTCCAATATTGACTTCTGCGCTCATTTATGATCACAGAGCTCGCAAAGTGTGTTTCCATGGAGGGAACAGGCGGTCTCATATTTCACAATGTTGGCATTCTTGATGTGTGTGCGTGCGTGTGTGTGTACCATCAATCATTTGGGCTGATAATTTCCTGTTCTGAAGTACACAGTGGGACAGTCTAACCAAAGAAGCTCGTGGAATAAAGCAGTTTTGTATCAGTGACAAAGTTTCCCCCCGTAAGGGAATTGGGCTTTGCACTGTAATATAGTTACACCATGTTATCACCATATAGTGTAACTTCATCTTGTGATACACACCCACTTTGTGAGGTATACCTGTTCAACCTCAAATATCTAATCAGCCAATCAAATGGCAGCAGCTCAGTGTATTTAGGCATGTAGACGTGATCAAGATAACATCCTGAGGTTCAAACTTAGCATCAGAAATACTTAGACAGGCTGGTCTGAGTATTTCTGAAACTGCTGATCTGCTGGGATGTTTGTTTATAACCATCTCGAGTGTTTAAAGCCCAAAAAAGAAAAAATGCGCAGTGAGCAGCAGCTCTCTGGGTCATAATGCTGTTTTGAAGCCAGAGGTCAGAGGAGAACGGCCAGACTGCTTCAAGCTAATAGAAAGGCAACAGTAAATACAGAAGAGCAGCAGAGGACCACACAGAGGGCCAGCCCTGACAGCCAAGAGCACAAAGCTGAGGCTACAATTCACACTGGCTTGCCAAAATTGCACAACAGGAGATTGGAAAACTGGTATCTGGCCTGATGAGTCTCAAATTTTCCTGCAACATTCAGATGGCAGGAGACAAAATCTGGCATGCACAACATGAAAGCATTGCTCTGGATACTGCTTTGTATCAATGGTTGAGGCTACTGCGAGTGGTGTTATGCTGTGGGGGATGGGGTTTTGTCATACTTTGTTCCCCTTAGTACCAACTGAGCATTATTTAGAAGCCACAGCCTACATGAATATTGCTGATGATCATGACCATGGCTGCATCTAGCAGGATAGCGTGTCACGTCACAAAGCTCAGATCATCTCAAACTGGTTTCTGGATGGATACAGTGTTTTACATTATGAATGTGTAACTGACAAATCAGAAGAATGCTAACATGTTGTCAGCACCTTTTGAATCTATGATATGAAGAATTAAGGCAATTTTGAAGAAAAAAGTGAGTCCAACCTGGTACGAGACCTACAACTTAGACCTAATGAAGTGGCAAATGAGTATATTTAGACATAATCACCAAAGCGATCAACTAGGATAATAAAATATGCTCTTCAAAGTACACCGATCAAACTAATACATGCATTTCGAAAACCTGATGAGTGACATTTTTAGAATTTTTAGTTTCACTCAGAGGTGCTTTTACCCAAAAATCTTCAGCAGCAGCTGCAATCTTTGACCAACATCTTTTTGCGAGCAAATGTGTCTTTGGGTAAATGTGTCTGCGACTAAATCGGATCGAGCATGGAGCACATTTGGGCATTTGTGTGTAGCATTAGCTGTGAGTGTGCATATTCAAAAGAGGAACACTGTAGAATTGTTTCCCTTTCTTTCTAAGTCAATCTGATCAACCTGAAAGCTACACAGGGCAATTCTTAACAAGGCGCTGTACACAAAGCATGCAATATTTAGATGTGTACTTTACATCAAAGCACATTAAAGTCAATTAACATCTGGATTATGGCTCCTTCTCCATGCATGTGAAAGCAGAGGCTGTTGAAATGTCAGTAAGTAAAGCAAATGCATCCAACTCGAGATATAACTAGCGTGAGAAGGAAAATAAAACTTGTTTCAAGACATGCCACATATTTTGAGGCACAATTACTATTTGATCAACAAACAGCCTTTCTCAGGCCTGAAGCAGCTAAGCTTATGACTCAGCGTGCGAGCCCATCTCAATTTTCCTGGGCACATCCTTTCACAGGCTACAGTCCAACTGTGTGGAAATCACCACCTGATTACTGCAACAAAGACAGGCAGCATCACAGCACCCACTCAGGTTCCTCTACGGGGCATCAATGGAAACAAGAGAAGGCTGAGTATCAGCTGGCACTGAACCACCATGCAGGCACACACAAGCGCACGCATCACTGAGGTGCACCGTCAGGCACTTCAACAGCTGGCAGAACTGTGCCTCCATCATCTTTCTGTCCGGTGGCAGGGTGGTGGCACACTCCTGTCAGGATGTTTCTGTCAGGGTAAACAGAGAAGCCTGGCTGCCTCACCCATTAGCCATACAAACAGAGTACTTCAAACCAGTGCATTGACTATGCAGCATTTCAGCACTCTGTACATGAAGAGGGATCTAAAGCAGATAGAAAATACAATTCTGGACTGCAGACAAACTTATGCATTATCAATTCCCAGGCTCAGGCAGCACAGTGGTTCACCACATATCTGTAAAGATACAGACAGGTCACAGCTTTCCTTTCTCTCTCCCCATCACAGCCTCCATCGCTCTCTCGTTTTCTTTGCTTATAATGGATGTTTTAAGCAACTGTGATTGAAAGGGCAATTCGCTAGAGGATTCTTGAAAGGCACTGCTGAACGTCTCCATTTGTCTGATGCTGATATGGCTGCCAAACACCGTGCGAGCGAAGGAGCACAACTCAAAATGGGCTGAGAAACAGTTGATTTGACAGCAACAGAAACAAGATAAAACAAAGACGGCAAAGAAAGACGACAGCAAACTGTGTTACAAACTGAACAAATACTGCCTGCACTACCAATTAACAAAAAAACAGCTATAGAGCAAAGAAGAAATCCACCGCTCTGGAGACACATTCAAAATTAATGAATATGAGAGAATCTTTTAATATGCTCTTAAGCTAGAAGCTGCCAGATTATGATCCTACAAGTCCCACAGCGGGGGGTGGGGGCTTTTGTACTTGTTGCGTAAGGTTGATTGCAGGCGTTCTTTTAGTGGTGCCGCTTCAAAGCACGACAAATAGGAAAAAATGTTTTCATTTACAGTATTATAACAAATCTTTGGACTATTATTAGACACTCAATGACCAGATCTGACATGTACTTGGCATACTGAGTGCTATGTTTCATTTTGGTCTTTAACTAACATCTATTTCTGTGCATCAGCCCTGACATTTAAGACTGGTAGTGTCCTTCGTGCAATAATGGAGTGTAATAAATGAGTACCAAAACTGGACCAGCAGACAATGCACAAAGCTTTGAACGTTAACAGAAATATGGAAAAAATGTTCCTCCCTCGGCTTGAAGGGAGTAGAGGGGGGATGTGAGGTGAGGCATGCATTAACACACATTCATCTGTCTCCTTTTATCTCTCCTCTCTGCTCACTCACTTCTTTCTCCTACTCCCCACATACAGACACACAAACACACACAGAAGACTCCTCTGCTTGTTCAGATTCAGAGACGTGCAAGAATGAATGAAATCTATACATTTACATTCACGCTGGACTGGACTCGTTTGCAGATAAGCACACTAGCAAATAGATGGGTATGACATTTTTATGTAGAGCCAGGCAGCCAAACAGGGAAGAGAGTATTATGTTTCCACTGAAAGAGAGAGTGAGCCGCATTTCAGAGTGTGTGCTCAAAGTGGAATATCAAGTGTGATTTATGAATGTGTTGTAAATCAGCTCATACACAACATTTCCTGCTCATTTCATGTGCCACTCTTGGGATGCATATATTGCAAACACTGTACGCCCTGCTGAGGTAAAAACCTTCATAATGTGTGGCAATAAATTACAGAAATAACAGCAAAATACAGAAAATTCATGTGATATAAACATGCATGCTAATAGATACAGCAAGTCTCAGTTCAGCAGATACGCAGTTGCTTATTCACAATGTGTCCCCCAACCCCCCACTGACATTAGTCTTTCTTCACCCCATCACTGCTAAAATCCTGCCAAAATATGCTCACTGCATTTCACTATTATACCAATTTTTCCTTCCCCTTTTCTCCTTTACTTCCTCTCTATTTTTTCCTCCCTATTCCTAAGCTCTCGCTATTTCTGAGTGCCAATTAAGGGAAGCTGGCATTTTGGACAAGCCACTATGAGGGGGAGGTTTGGGGCTGTTTTGGCTGATGTCATGGAGCAGAAGTTGTGAAGTAACTGTCCTGTTCGTAACTCATCTGCCCTGCAAAGAGATGCTGTTTTTGTCCAATTAGACTAAACTACACACTGCTAGCATACACCGGGGAGGCAGACGGGTGTGCCTCTCTCTGTCTGTACATGCATGTGTGTGTGTGCACTTCACCACTAGTACCACTAAGTACCTCCCATTGTTGTACCTCATCGAGCAGAGCTGCTCTCAGGCAGCAGTTCTGCACTAGGCTGCACAGACGGGAGGTCCATGTCTCACAATATTCACACACATACAGAAAAAGATCTGCCTTTACACAAACATATACTCCCTTTCCCATCCAGCTCTTATTTTTCCAGAAATCTATCCAGCTTTCAGGTTGGAGTTTTCCAGCTTCACCTGACCCACAGCATCGCTCTCTGCCTTTATCTCCTTGGAGCTGAAGTGTAAACCTTGCTCTAAAAGCAGCATGCTACCACTGAGACTGCTGGTGACTGAGTTTGGGGCTTAAGTATGATCTAAAACGCCCCCCAAAGGATAAAAAGTTAATTAAACAAATGCAAACCCAAGGGATTATCTGCTGGAAAAAAATATCAAAAGGTGCCCCTGCTACAGTAAGAGTTCAGCCTGAATGAAATACTTCTATATCCTAATATTAAAATATAAATCTTTAAATATATCCACCTTATGCACTTATTCAGTTCAGGGTCACTTAAAAATCACCAAAATACTGTTAAAAAAAAAACTTTCTGTATGTCACTGCTGTGTTCACATTTTTTTCCACTGCCCCCAAGTGGCCAAAACATATTTAGTTTAGCAACAGCAAGCTTAGTGAGCTGATGGATGTTGTGAATTCAAGAAATAGATGTCTCCATAATATATCTGTCAGTCACCACTATTTCACAGGAAGACAGTGCTGACAGTTCAGGTAACATCATCCCTACAAGAACTGAAACAAATACCAGAGGATTAGGTGCAAAAACAAATCACGGTAACATTTAATCATTACATAGAACCTGGGAGAGTGTAGTATTTCTGATACAGTGTATAACAAAAGCTATTCTAGATTGCACATGAAGGTTGTATACATAAGATGTATAACTAATTGTGTTGGTGAGGTGGCTTTAGTTTGCCAATTAAACTTATATTTATTCTATTAATGAGAGATACATTGAAATTATACTTATGCATCTCTTCTGGGCAAAACTCTGGACTTGTTATAAATAAACAGGAATAATTATGTCATTGACTTATGTGAAGTAATGCTAATCTCTCCGATCTCTGGGCTCTATACAATACGATGCAGCTTCAGGTTGATCTCTGCCCATTTAAGGTCATTCGCACACAGTTCAGTTCCAAGGTCCTTGGGGATCAGCACTCCTTGAATGGCACACTCTCCCAGCCTCCCTCAAAACCAGATATGGACAAAACCATGGATTTCCCGCACATTTCTCCTCATAATAACTTATGGAAAAATATGAATGGTTTAATTTGAGAACCAGTGAGGTGCACTGTGCTAAACTAAGATGACTAAAAAAGAATTTCTCTCCATTCTTTTGTTTTGGTCTCTGGTTTTACACATTAGGAATTCTTATGTGTTTCATGGTTTTGCTTTTTTTAGTAGATAGCACAATTCAATTGAAAATCTTGCTCTTCCTCAACACTGATGACATATATGATGACACACAAGGTGTGTTGTGTACACGTGACCTTTTCTTGTAGACATTTATAGGTAAAATTTAGCACTTTGTATTACTGGTTCAGTGAAGATTTGATCTTACCTCAAAAAAGGACAAAACTATAAAACCCAGAGTGCATGGACACACTTACAGCTCTCCATCAGAAATCAGTGTTTTAAATAAAGGAAATATTTGTGTTATCTGGCAAGAGTAAAGATGTGAATTATACGTCTGTGAAAAAAAATCTGATTATAGTTAATCAGCCAAGTTGCACTTTAAATCATTAACATCACGACTGCTTTACATGGTTTGATCTTTGAGTGTGAAATAAAAAGCAATCTTCCCTTCTGTTTCAGAGTTATGGTGTTAAATAGAGGGAAAAAAGTATTTTTAACAGAATGCTATGATATCACAGTAAAGCTGACTTTTGTAGAAGCACCCTTTTCATCAGACAGACAGATGTACAGGTCAAAATCCTAACATCTAGCTCTGAAGGAGAGGTCAGGGTTAAAATAACAATGCTGTGGACACGGCCTTGTTTCAAAACAAAATTTAAAAAATGTAATTCAAACTCAAATATAGCTTTGAACTGGTGAAAAAGCAAACACGACGAGGTGAAATGAGGGAAAAAAGAAAGTCACTAAATTCACGGAAATGAGAAAAACAGGAATGTTTAAGAATTGTATAAAAAAAGGGGGAATCTGAATTTGTGGATGCTGGCACTGGCCTGTGATTCCTGGGAAGCCACTAGCAGGCATCTCGTTTCTAACACATAACAGATGGCCCTCATGGGCCAACGAACCATGTCTTTGAAGAAAGCAAGGGCCTATCGTCTTTCCTCTGTCCTACATTTAGAAGGTCAGAAATTATGGAAAATCTTGAGGATAAAAATCGAATTATGTAGCACCCTTTCAAAGTGATAACGTTGATGAATTACCTGATTCATTTTTCTCAACTGATAAATAAAGATTGAACATTTCTGATGTTTTTAACGATAATACAAAAATGTTAAGTAAAATTAGTATTTATCTTCTAGGTTACCAAGTTTGCTAAATTGCATTTTAAGGAAATTATTAGTAATGAATGTGGCTTTGTGTCAAGGCCATAAAAAGGTGAGGCTTTGTGGTTTCATGGGCTCTGTACTGGCAGCTCAAACAAAAAATAACTGACACAGACAAAATAAATATTAGGTAAGTAGAAAGGTACTGCGGTAAGACCTCAAAATAACAAAGCTGCCCCAACTTAATGAAATAAAATAAAGCAGCATTCAGTGTGATATCGAAAATCACAAAGTGAGAAAATTACATTTGTTCATTTACATGTTACAGCCGAGTATAATTATATTCACGTAAACGTAATGTTTCAAATAAGTGACAACGTGTATTGCCAAACCTTCTCTGGGCTAAGACGAAGTCTGTCTGGCGTTTTGGTTCAGATGTTTTTTCCTTGTGTTTCATTGATTTTCCATCCAATTTTCCATCTAGAGGAAAATGGGCTGCGCAAAAACAATCGAGCTTGTCTGGAGCTGAAATAAACAATCTCCTTTTCGGTCATCATCATTCTACATGGCCCTGAATAATGCATTTCTTTACTTTTTCTTTTTTTCGCTCCGCTATTCTGAGCCCCGACCAAAAAGAATTTCTGGCTGCATCGACTTCAATAGCATTCCCTGTCTGAGTAAGACCGTTACAGATAGGCATCGCTGACAGCTTCCTCTGGCCTCACTCACACCCCTTCTGTAAGCCATATACTGCTCTGCACAACAGTTAGTGGTCTGGCCACATGGTACACACCACCAAACCTCCAATATATACACACACACTCCCTCTAACCCAAACCCAGATCCAGCAACAAAGCTCCTTTTGTTCTATTCCACTCAAGTAAAATGGCAACGCACGCAAGCCTTTCACAGAAAAATCAAAATAAGTTCAACCAACAGTGATGGGGCAGAAGGGGAGGGCAGGCAGTGGAGCATGTTTTCTTGCCCCATCTGGAAAGTATTGCTTGTGTATATGCATGCACACAAGAAGTCTTTTTCTGTCTCACGAACTCATATATGGTACATTACAGCAAAGCAATTTAAGGTTATCAGTGCTAATAGAGGATATAGAGGGTGGAGTTTAATAAGAGCAAACCACCAACATTCAGGTGACTCCAATCTGATACCTTTCCTGAGCTTATTACTGCCTAATGACCACCATCAGATATGGCAGATGGGACCCAGGCCTGTTTTGATGGCTAACATTCAAGAACAGGGTGAACTGAGAGCAAAAACACAGGCAGTAGCTAGTGGCTCACATGAACCTTATCATAAAAAGAAAAAAAGACTGAGGAGTGCACAAGGAAGGTTTCTTAAACGTTACTTCACAGAAATCTGAGACGTTTCATAGCTGGAAGTTTGCGTTTTGGTGAGCCTCTAAGCTCTGACTGCTTTGGTGAGACCTGCAGTGTTTGGTCTAGGGTCACTCGGTGCAGCACTTTCAGGTCTTACCTGTTCTTTCTCTCTGGTCTGAGTTTTCTGTAGTAGAGGCCTGCTGCTCCCAGTCCAGCCCCTCTGGCTCCCACTGACCCTGGACAGGCCCCTTTTCCTCCTCGCATGATGGGAGGTCTACCTCACCTCCTTCTGAGAGCTATACACAGAGAGATGCATTTGTCAGCAGTGGAGCCCTGCACTCAAGGAGGAAGTGACTGCAAGATTGTATAGAGTACTTATGGTCACATAACCACAGAACATTATCCCAGTGGCTGATTTTTTTCCAGTTTCCTGCATCTTTTTCATCCTTTTCTCCATTACACACTGAACAAGAATGTGATGGAAATGAGGCCCTAGTTTTGCCACAGAGCTTGGATGAGAACCGTTTCTCAGAAATAGGTTTGAAACTGTCTTTAAGTCCAGGGATGGAGGGAGATTAGATTCACTGTTATGGCTATGTCCTATATCTGCCGGAAAGGAAATAATCTGTCAAGATAAACATTTTTTTAAGAGAAACAGAACTTCAAAAAGGAGTTCACTGGTCACTGTGGTACCCTCCAACTTCTTTTTTCTTTTTTCTTTCTGTCAAATCAGAATTTGTCCTACAGAAGAGAGGACAGGCAGAGAAAAAAAGAGAAAGGGGGGAGGAGAATACATTTGCAGGGCTGCAATGAGCCATTAGACCTGCATGGCTTTGTTTATGGTTCGATGTTTTAATCAACACTACTGAGCTTCCTGTTCCACTGAAACATCCAAGATTCCTCCAAAGCACTGAACGGAGACTTGCAACCTTTCCATACCCCTCACTCTCTCCTCTCCCTATCCACTATATCTTGATCATTTTAGGTTGATGAAAAGGTTATAGCGATGAACAACAAAGCAACAAAAAACACAACCACAAAAACTTGGCATGTACAATGTGGATTTGTGGATATGTTGTGCTCTACGAAGCCTGAAAAACACCTCCATGTGTGCGTTCAGTTTGAATTTAAGGCATTATTCTTTCATATAAACAGACAGTATATATCCAAACAGATTTCAAGTGAGCCAGCTGGGCAGCAGTCACAACTCACCCACTGTTGATTGGGCATGGCCACGGAAGTAAGCACATCAGCCATGGCTCCTAACATCTGGTCAGTGCGTCCCTGATTTTTCTGCAGAGCTTTCATTCTCCTGAACACCACACAAAAACTCTACAAGCTTGGTCTCTGATTCTGATGCAATCTTCGTGTCCCGTGTCTGTCCTGTGCTCTTGTTTTCTGCCCCTTCACTGTGCACTGTGCTGCAGTTTGGAGCTGAGCCCACCTCTTTCTACCATGACACACAGGAAACCTCATGCGCAAGAATAGATCAAGGAGGAGCAGGAGGAGGGCTCGTGTCTGTGTGGGAGCGTGCACTTGGTCAGGAGCCTCAGCACGTCCAGGACGCACAGGTGAGCTGGCTGCAAGTGTCTGTGCAGCTTCCTTCTCTGATAGTCTGCACTGTTTTGTCAGGAACCTGAAAAACAGATAGATTTTTCCTCTTCTTCAGCCTTCTTCTGAGGTTTTTGTAAAGTCCACAGTCTTCTTCTTTGTGGTTCTTCTAAATCATGAGGTTTGACAGTGTGAAGTTGGCCTTCTTCTATGTTTTCTGAATGCTGAAATGGAGCGCAGTGGCTGAGCACACCACCCTCCCTGAAATCCTCCTTTCTTGTTCTTCATTGGCTATACAATATCACCTCCCCCTCCCCCAAACCTCACCCCTTCCATCATTGTTTCTCTTCTGTCTTTCCTTGTTTCCTTGGTTAGCACCTGTAGCTTTTCTTAAGCTCAAAGTATTTCAATCTGATCTTTCATTGAACTCCTGTAAAACTCCACACTCTCTTTGATTTTTGCCCAAGTCTCAAGCCCAAGGCAGTGACACATAGACTGTGCGAACCCTTGAGCGGTGGGGCAGCCCCAAATAAGGTATGAAAACACAGTCCACGAAGCTCAACTATTTGAGACACTGTCGCCATTTCCACATTTATCTTACTTTATTTATTCAACTGCTTAGATGCTCATTATTTAAGCTGTTAAAATCAGAAGACTTGCAACATTATTTACATTTTGACACTGCTGACCAAGTAGAGAGACATTGTCATAAAGAAGTGTGTCTGTCTTTCAAATTCTTAACTTTTATTGGAGAACACTAGCATACTTAATCAAACTTTCAGGTTCAAATGTCATGCGATTCTATCTTTAGTGTCTATCAGTCTTAGATTTTCACTGCAGCAGTCGTTGTGTTCCTCCAAGAAAAACACACGTATTGTGCTCCCTGTGCTTCTAGCGATCTATATTTAATTTTTAGAACCTGACTTACATTACTGCTACAAAGAATATCAAGTTTAGTGTGCTAGCATGTAAGCTAGTGTTATTTAGGTCAGAGTTCATAAACAATCATTTCTGTCAAAAGAGGAATAATATTTCCAAATGAAATACTTTATTTATGGTGGTTTGACAGGGAGAAAGGACTGATACAGAAAAGAGCAAGTGTCACTACCAATGGCCGTGATTGATGTTGATATTTCTATCAGACTGAATAAATCAAATAGAGTGTGACAAAGAGGAGCTAGGGTGGAAGTGGGTTGCAAAGCGGCTCACAGATGTGCAGCAACTGCAGGCAGCTGGGAGGATACACATGTTTTGCTTCAGTGCTGAACAGTTTGGGGAATATCTTGTCCAGTTTGTTATAGCAACAATAACTAATCACTCACAAGTCAAGCTAACACAGTTTTGTTAGTTAGCATGAGCTAAGCTAAACTTTTTTCATGTAGATGTTTTTCTTTATTTGGACGTCTCAAACTGCAAAAGCAATGCTCTTTAAATGTATTTTTAACAACTGATTAATAACCTATCTGATTGGCTAGTAGCAGTATTGGCACATTTTGATTGGGTGGTGTCTCAACATTTTAGTGCAAACAGAACAAGTCAAGTAAAGCATCCATAATTTAGTACATCAACAGATGATGTAACCTCATTCAAAGGGAATGAGAGGAAAGAACAATGCCTAACATCTCTGTGTGGATTCTCCCTAAGATAGCACTGATAGCATAGAAGGGTATCTGTTCAGCTATGTGGACGGGTATTGACACCAGCCTTTTTCAGCTGGGATTGCAGGAAGATGACTTTGTTTGATTGACTCATTTAGCAGGTCAAGGGGCAAACAGTAATGTAATGCTGACTTGTATACCTCTGTTTAAAGAACAGCTTGGTCAATGAAACAACTATTTGAAACTGGATCTTGATTTTGTGCAACTAAATGCAGACAGACCGAAAATTATCTAAAAAATAAAAAGTCCTAAAGACAGCTTGCCTGGATAAAAAGCATTATATTCTTAATGTTCTTGTCTTTTTTCCATTTTTTTTTCTGCTCAAGCACAAACTCTCAAAGGTTGTATAACCAAACCTGAAAATAGCAGCTACTCATCTAAAGAATAATTCTTGGTTTAGGTGTCAGTTCAATCTGATGAAACAGATAGGTACCTTTTAATCACCTGGAAACCCACCCAGGCCCAAACTCTTTTTTTATACACCTGTCTCAGCTTTTATATCAAGTAACATCCATGTCTCAGAGTTTTTACCTTTCCTAAGCCAGAGCGCTGCTTGTGTTCCTGTTTTTGTCATATATAGTCAAGGCCAAAGGTGACCATGGTTCCACCATGACAGACAGCTTTAAAGGTCTTTGCAGCATAAATGTTTCATGAGGGGAAGACATCTCTATTGTCTTCCCCTCATTTTAGTGTGCCTTTTTAATGTTTAATGAATTCCTCTATTCTAAATGTATAATTCAGATTAAAGTTAGAGAAACCAATTAATCCCTGCAGTATGTTCTTATTGCATTCTGTAATACACAAAATTACACAATAAAAATACACTAACAATATGTCCCAGCAGAATGAGCTAGCAAACACCGATGCTTGTTTACCTCCTTTCGTCTCAGATCCCTGGTGTATTACATGTTGGCTGACTCTCACAGCCATAGCTTACCCTGCTGTCTGGTTAGAGTTGAAACATTGGTAATGTTACACCAACAACAGGTTGGACAGTTGTTTGCTGATACATGGCTCATACCTAACCTGGTTGTGAACTTTATTAAAATAGAAAAAAAACATTGTGTCTGTCCCAAACTGAAAGTTACCAGAAAAGTTTTTTTCTATTATATTTTTAGATGTAAACAATATAATAGAACAACATCTAAACACAAACCGTCTGTCTAAAGTTTTCTGTGGACAGCTGTGAGATGTTAAAACGTGCCTAGGCAGCAATGTGTCATAATGTTATTTTTAGGTTTTGTTTTAATGTTCATTTATTCTTAAGGGTCATACGTCTACTTAGCTTGTTATTTCATAAATTTGTGACATCAAGGATGCATTTGGCACCTAAATATTTAGCATTGTTAAGTGGACTTAGTATTTGTGTGTGTGTGTGTGTGTGTGTGTGTGTGTGTGTGTGTGTGTGTGTGTGTGTGTGTGTGTGTGTGTGTGTGTGTGTGTTGTGTGTGTGTGTGTGTGTGTGTTGTTTGTGTTAAAACAGATTTGATGTTATTGTGTCGTTTAATGTGAAATATAAAATGGCACATAGCCAGGATTTTTCACGCTAGAGACCTTAAACTTTTATTCATTTTTATTACATTTATGGCCTTCTACTTGCATTTTTTTCCCTAATTTTTAGCTCATCTGGCCAGAGAACTGAAAAACTTAGGCCATAGCCAGGCATCTAGTATCTGTTCATCTGTAAACTTGCCCATAATTCACAAGAATCACTACTCCTCCTAAAGTACTGGTCAAACTTACACAACACAAAATGATCACCTAATGGCTGTTCACTCAAACTGTGCTCAAGGTCAAGGTCATATTTGTTGTTTCACAGGGAATTAGCCATGGATCGTGATGGATCGTGAGCTGGACGAGCTATTATGTCATTGACATTCTGGTTTGGTTTATGTGCCATGCTGGTATTTTTTATTGCACGAGTACATCATCACCATCGGGGCTTAGTTGAGTAAATCTCAGGAATGTGTGTGAGAAACTCAAGGAAACTGACAGGCTGTGTAAAGAACACATAAAAAAAACATCTCTCAAAATTTTCCCTTCCCTCACCGACTATGAACACATCAGCAACTGCTTAGGGCTAAGCCACAGTTGCCTGGCAATGACTTTATATTTAATAACAGACTCTAATAACCATTTTTTAGCATTTTCATAAACTGGTATTCTATAGTGAATGTGAGTGTAAATGGTGGTCTGTCTCTCTGAGTTAGTCTCGCAACTGACTTCTCAACTGTCCAGAGTATACCCCACGTATCGCCCTATCACATGGATGCGATGCTTTTCTATATCACGTAAGTAAGAAATTATACCATCACATCCAAAGGCATCTAAATAACAAGCATATTACACTACACACCCAGATGTGTCCATCAAACATATATTTGTTCTTTTTATTTCATTAACAGATCTTTTTAAATATATATATATATATATAATATATTTATAATATAATATATAATATATATATATAATTCCAACGACAGGGGAGGGGGAATATTTTCATAATTCTATTTTTCCCTATTTCCTTAATTTTTCCCAACCATGATGCTTTCCATATGAAGCTTCATTTCTTGTCTGAATCCCACATCCCTGAACAAATTCTCTCTGTCAATGCAAAATGTATTTACTTACTCATCAATTAAAGCAACTCCACCACACCTTATCTTCCCATTTGTAATAACATGATCTAAATATATGTTTAAAATATGTTTAACTATTTCCTGGATGCTGGAGGATTGTACGTGCTTTAAGGCAAATAGCATTAGAGGTGGTTCTGTCTTTAGCACATAAATGGAATTAATATAGCAGATGCACGGTCCTGCACTGACTGCCAACAGTCTAATATTAGCTAAGCACATTGCTGTTGTTAGAATCAGTCACTAAGCTGGCTAAACTTAGTCCACTTTGTCCCAAGCCTCTTTCTTTTGCTCCACCGCTGATTTGTGCTGGGTAATGTGGTGTCTGGGGAGAGGTTGTGCTGCCTTTCACAGTGATGAGTAAATGACTCTGTCAGGAATTTGCAGAATAGAAAGAAAATAACCCCGACCCTAAAAGGAAAGTCTGAGTACTATCAAGAGGTGGGAATCAGAACAAAATGTACTTATACTTCTAAATCTCATTCACAATTGGCAACTCATAAATCACATTCACAGCTGATTTTCTTTGAGAAAATGACTTAGAAAAGGTTGCTAAATGTGCTATGCTGCCCTCATCTGGTCAACTTGATTGGCCTTTTTTTGTAGATCTTAAAGGATAAAGGAAAACATCCAAAGTACACACTCAATCACTACCCCACCCTGTCATGCCAAACAGACTTCCTTTTCCTCTGTATTATTTCCTCTCAATTTTATTTCTGCTTTGCTCCCAGAAGCTAGAATCTTCCCCCCACAGGCATGCCCTTTTCTACTCTTCCTGTGTTTCATATCAGACCTACCTCAGGGTCTTGTGTCTAAACATAGAACCTTTTCAGTGACGGTTAAGGTTACTGTGACACTATAGGTCCAATCCGATGCTTTAAAGCCAAAGAGGTGTCTTCGGATAAGGGCTTGTCTGTGGGACATTTGATGGGATTTCTTGGGATTATGATGTTGGAGGTGTGTCAGCTCCAGCTGGCTGTTATCAACATGCCTGTTTGTTAACTCTTGAAAGCAGATAACCGTCTATAATTCTCAGGATCAAGCAGCTTTTGAATGAATGTCCAACCTTTATTATAAAAGCTTTACTCAGTTATGACTGGGCTCTGCAATGAGCTCTGCTACTTGAAACAATGCTGATCTTTAATAATGCAGGAGCATTTAGTGATTATAATTTGTTAAACTAAGCCTAAATTGTCTGCATGCCTTGTTAAAAGTTTGTAGATTTTATTTGGAAGTGTAGTAGCTAAGGCCTACAGTGAGGAATCATGTTATTTTTTATCTTGCTGAATGCCACCACATAAACTGTACTCATGTCCAGGCTGTCCATTTCCAAGTTTCATCAGAAGAGGGCAGTCAGCAACCCCTCTGAACAAGAGGTGCTGTCACATAACACAGGCCAACAATCATATGCTTGAAGTGAAGGCTTGGCCCCACTCTAATTTAATATAAGGGTTAATCTGTTTACATGCACATTTGGACCCACGTAACTGTAACACTGATGCTGTGAATACACCTGTTAACAGGATATTCCCGTCCACATATGAGATTCGACACTGTGAGCAGAAAGGCTGTGGTCACGGTTCAAACGGGACATTACTAAACCAACAATGCTAAAAAGTTAACCTAATTTATTTCCGTTATAATATTGGATTCAATATCAGACTTGCTTAAATAATCATGTTAACATGATAATTAAATACCTACAGATGAAGTTTGTGGATAATGAAATATAACTTATGCAAGCACTTCCTCCTGAACAAAATGTATTAACTGTTCATGCCTCATAATTAAGGACTGGGCATTTTCAAACCAGGTGCTTACACTCACTTCCACAGCGTCTGTGCCAATGCACAATAACTTCATCTTGTGTGCCATTGTTTGTGCCCCATAAATGTTAGTTTGTTGTCCCAGCAGATGGATTTCCGTTCCAAAACAGACCCGAGACTCTGCCTTGCATTAGGCAGACTCACTGGAATTATTCAGGCAGGGGGTCCTCAGCAGCAGAGAGCAGATTTGGGAGCAACAGCTTCTATGATTCAGTCACAGGACTTTTTTTGGACAGTTAGAGGGGTTTGCCCTGACACAACAGACGGGCAGCAGAAAGCTGCAGATGGGCAGATTCTGAGAGATCAGAGAGAAGTAAAAGAGAGAAGAAAGAGAAGCAGACCAACTCAAAAGACTGTAAGGGGAGCAAGTTTGGCCGCTGTCTGTTTCCTTCTCTTAATCCTTAAATCTTCTGTAATCAGGATGAGAGGAAGAGAGCACGTTGGCTGACTTAGGACAGCAGAGTCTATGTTGGGACCTGGCTGATGAGGCAACCTTACTGGGCACTAGTAGAAATGGAGGGAGGGGGAAATCTGGAGCTGCAGTCAGTTTTGGGAAACTTAACCTTAACCAGGTTCTACTAAGCGCCAGCGAGAAGCGTGGAAGTCCAGGATGGTTTAATTGTCAAGAGGAAGTAAGAAACCAGAGGAGAAAAAAAAAGAAGAGGACTAACTCATGGCTGAACTGCTTTCAGGTGAGAGCTGTGTTATTATTTTTAGTAATATTTGTTCTGACGTGTGTTGTTTTTGCTTTAGTTTTTATGAACATTCCCTTTTTAATCATCTTTATTCCACCGTTAAAAGGCAAAAAAGACAGCTGACATTTAGAATTCAGATTAAGATGTCTGGCCAGATTGCAAGGTGTTGCTCAACAGGAAGTGGAGGCCACAGTGGCCTACACGTCAACACTAAAGTCAGGGCATTTTATGTTTGTGCAGAATGAGGAAGAGAGAGAAAAGACTTGTGTGGGAACTGTGCATGACAGAGTGCTGAAATACAAGCATTTGCTCGTGGGATTAAGGGATTTATGATACGTTAACAAGATCTTATTAAAAAGATAACTAATTGGAATAACTTCTAATTACTGTGACTGACAATAGGTGCAAAACTAATTTGCTGAAAAAATGGGTGAGTTTTGTGCATGCAGGACCACAGCCAGCTCTTCTGTCATTTCCAGTCTTTAAAATATAGAGAATTAGAACTAGCTGACACTATCATATTTCTGAGTCTTGAGAAATAGTGTCTTCAGTGGCTTGAAAGTATATTTACACATTAGATACAAACTTTACACTACAGGATATGCCAGTGTGCTGATGTATGGAAGCGCAGTATAACAGTGTTAAGACACCATGACACATGCTGTCACTAGACTGGCCTCCCATTGCTTCCAGTGCCATATGGCCTTTTTCATCCCAGTTGAGTGTCCCTATGCCTTCTTTCACTTCACTGTGCAGACTGAGCGACCTCGGCTCTGCAGGATTTCTTGTTTTATAGTTGCTGTTATTTATGTGTAGATTTGTGCCTTCACATTATTTACGTTTCAGTTGTCTTAAATATATTTAAATTATGAGACTGCTTTCAAGGTGATAAGTATTTACTGTCTTTCTCTGTTGTGTGGTGCCAGTGAAAAATCAACTGGCAACAAGCATGTTACACAGGGAGGTTACCTATGTTGTAAATCAGAGACTTACTTTGACAGGAGGGCTGAGGTAAAGCTCTTCATCCTCTTTAGGCCTCATGCCTTTTAAACAAGGCCTTTTCAGGTCACCAGATCTATTTAAAATGCTAACTTTAAAAGCTGCCAGTTTGTGTTGCTCGTCTCACAATCACACGTGAACTGGTCTAAGGAGGGGAAGAGGTCTTACACCTTCCAAAACGAGACTGGAATGAGACAGCAGCACTTGTTATGATTTGGCTTTTGCAAAGGAAAGAAGAATTATAGACATCGGCACATTTCAAACTATGTGCACGCAGTTTTGTGTGCATACATAATGTGTGTACACCCGGAAAAGCGCTTTCAGTGTTTCGCACATCTGTCGAAGGTAACGTTACTGCAAATGAACTGTAAGCTGCTCGTAGATTATGTATTGTTTTTTTTGAAAAACGTTATCCCCCTTTAACTGCAACAACAACCACCTGTCTGCTCAATCTGAACCTATATATGTGGCTACGGAAAATAATTGTGTGAACTGTGTTCATTTCATGTGTATGATAACAACATTTACATTTTTCTGTTTAAGATAAGGGATCTCTGCTGCAGGCCTGACACCCAGGTGTGACCAGAGTCAGCGGGGGTTCCAATGGCTACTGCAAATGACGACCCACACCTGGGCAGTGGCCCATCTGACGACTCAGAGATCCTCCTGGATGACTCTGACTCGGGCAGTGTGCTTTCAGACGACTCCGTGCTTCCCATCTATGAAAGGGACGGAAAATCAACAGAGCCGGCTAAAACATTGTACGAGGCCTGTGCCAAGAATGACACTGCATCCCTGCGCAGCATCATGGAGAGAGGAGTCACAAAAGATGAGGTCATGGAGCTAGACATCAATGGCAGGGTGAGATAAATGTCACTTCTCATTTTTTCCACACAGGTACTATGACAATGACTTTTTTTTTTTTTTAAATCAATTAATCAAGAAAGGTAACCTCAGCATCTATAATAGGCCTATTTATTTATATCTTCTTCCCCTCAGAATGGGCTGATGCTGGCTGTGTCCAAGGGTTTTGTGGACATCGTCGCCTTGCTTCACACATGCCCATTAATAGACATCAACCACCAAGACAATGATGGCAACACTGCTGTCATGATTGCAGCCCAAGCAGGTACATCTGAAGACATCAGATGACTTCAACATCAATTCCTAAGCTGATCATAGAATATTAACATAACCTAATTTTTTCAATCCAGGCTTCATCACCATCCTGAACTATATCCTTAACTACTACCCTTGTGTGGACACTGAGATCAGGGACCCCCGTGGGTTCACAGCTCTCATCAAGGCAGGCCTACAAGGCAGAGAAGAGTGTGTCTCCGCATTGCTAATGCATGGTACGTCTAGATGTCTTTCTACATCAAATCTTCTAACAATGTCCCTCACCTGTGACCGAATGTCAAGCCCACATGGAGAGTCAGGACGTACACCTCAGATGTAGAGGATTTGGTTTGGTGTGATTGCAATTAAACTCTTATAGGTATAACAAATCTATTAATGTCCTATATATGTAATATAGAGGGCAAAGCCGGACATCCGATCTGTCAACTAATCTGTTTTTTTCTGGACTACAGAGATTAGTCCTGTATGAACTGTGCAGGGACACATTTAAGAAAGCTCTGTAATAATTCAGTCCACTTTCTATTTAAAGTTTAATGATGTCAGACATTAATCTATAATCCATCTGTGTTCATAGTGTGCAACAAAAATATCTGTGTGTATATTTGGTCAGTTAAAGCCTTGATTATTTGCCAAGTAGACTTCCAAAGTCTCCTGAGTAGACATGACTAAGCGTCTTCAGCCAGAAATTGGTTAAACCTGGGATGTCAAACTCATTTTACACTGTGGGCCACATACAGCCAGTTTGATCTCAAGTGGGCCAGATCACCTCAGTTACTTCAGTTTTATTTATTGTTTACTTTTATAGTATACCCTCTGTCAGTGTAAAGACGTTTAGCAACATAAGCAACATAAAGAAATGTTGCTGTAGTAAATAAAGAAATCTCTCAGCATGACTCTTTGGGTTTATATTGTAAAAAATAAATGTGTAAATAGCAGAAAAACACCAGAGGTTTTTGTTATTTCGTTGTTTTTCTATTACTTAATTACTGTAATATAATATGAAAATGTGTAAAACTTAAAAATAAAAAAACAATGCAGTTAAAAAAAATGTATTCCCAGCAATTTTTGTCCCATCTCACCATACTGATGCTTGCCATCTACCTAATAACCTGTGCTCCAAAAATCACCACATGGTGGTGTTGTTACGCTGAGTTGACGGCAGTTGATTTCCTCCCACTCAACATTTCTACTGTTTTCTCTCCTCGGTGTGCAGGTGCAGATGTCAATGCAGTCGATCTCGTCCAGGGGAAAGGTCTAAAGGACTGGGCCCTTAGGACAGGAAGGTTTGAGACTCTAAACAGACTGCGTCGCCTGCAAACTCGTCCTATTGCAGAACAGTTCTGTGAAAGCTACATTCCTGAGTGGCCTGAGCTAAAGCTACTGGTGGCAAAGGCCACTGCAGCCAAAACAGCAGGTCAGAAGCTGAGGCAGCGCTTAAAAGACAGTCTTAGTTTCAGCTTCCCACATGACCCCCAAGACAATGGGGTCATGGACCACATGGTGCGGATGACTACAAGCATCCACAGCCCCTTGATAGCTACTGGTTGCCGTCCACTCTGTCCCACCAGCCCCCCAGAGATTGGCAAGCGACGGTTTGCTGTACCGGAACTGCTTGACAAGCACAGCACCAAGGAACTGGAGGAGAGCATGGTGTCTCACAGTAATGGCTCCATCACTTCAGCTTCACCTGTGTCGGCCACCTCTGTATCACTGACCTCTTGCTGCCAAGACTCAGAGCGCAGGCAAAGCTCACCAACAGGTGGCATGAAAAGCTTCATCCCCCGCAGCATGGCACACAGAAACAGCATCTTCCCCTCAGGCTGCATTCCCAAAATTGAAGTTACAAAATCTGGGGAGCGCACTCCAAAGAAGGAGAAAAAGAACAAAAGGCAAAAGGGTTACCTGGAACCTCCTGTCTGGAAGTACAAGGAAGCCAAGGAGGAAAAAAAGAGAGAGAAGAAAAAGCAAGAAAAGGAAAAAGAGGAACAGAAAAAATCGAAGGGGTCCAAACGTTCATGAAGTGAAAATGCCCATTTTTTGTTTCTAGCAAAACAGTTCTGAAGTGAGCAGCTGACAAGGGAAACACATGGGTGAACCTTGATCTGGAAAATGCACTGGCTGGCTTTTTTCAGCATCTTTGTACAAGCTGAAAAATTATGCTAACCAAATAGAATCTGGTTTTCCAGAGACTGTGGTTTACTGGTTTCCTGTCTGAAAGGGTGAATTGTTTTTTTGAGGATGCAATTACACTGACTGCACACACCTGCGATGGTGTTATTTTTCTCTATAAAAGGATTTTACTCATCTTCATTTCATGAACAACTTCTCAGTAGCGTGTCATTGTGGTATTTCACTGCAATATAACCAAATAGCCCATACTGTATGTGATCAGATGCCTTCAGGGAATGTATCAAAGTCACATTTAATCAAAGACCGTGAAAGGCAAAAAAAAAACAATTTAAGCTACAAATTAAAGGAAAAAATCACTGAGAAATGCTCCATCATGGAATAATTATGATGACTCAGAACACTGATTTCTATCCCACCTTGCCTCTTAGACCTGAAATATACTCCCTTACAGACTTGTGCATGGCAGCTGCAGAAACCATGAACAAGTAGCTGCTCTTATTATTTTACTTTCTATTCTGCTTGAAGGAAGAATGCACAGTTTGTGCAGTAGCAGTATTACAACAAACCAACTACTACAGATGTTTTTTAGTTTGTGCCGTATGGAAAGCACAAGTGTGTTATCTATGGTTCAGTTTCATTAAGCGTCTCAGTGAGCCATGACAAGGACCCTGCACGCGCTACAGCACAGCATCCCCTGAGTGGAGGTTTAATACACTATTAATGTCTCTGAAAAAGGTATACTGGAGGCATATGTGAACATCTGCAAGGACTCTCCCTGATAATCAAAGCAGTCACTGCACCCTTGCAGATTCCAAAAGTATCAAATGTGTACAGAGACAAGTAACCCCAAGCCATACCTGCAAAATTCAGGTTTTCCTTTAATTTGTCATCTTTTCTGTGATTCTTTTGCTCTTTTTTGTGTTTTGCTGTGTCACGCAAATGATGTGAGTGTGATACTATAAAAGGAACAGAGCCATCTCTGAAGCATCTTCTTTCATACTGGAAAACAATGCTCAGTGGGATGCAAATAGAAATCTTCAGCCTGCTGCTTCATATTGTTTGTTTCATCGATTATTATTTGAAAACGAGTACTGTTGCTATTCAGGGAAATATACAATAAGCATATTATTATCATCAGAATAACAAACTGCATATTCAAGAACAGAAACCTGTTGTGGACTATAGCTTAATTTTGGGATTTTTTAAATTATTCTCTTTATAGATAAATGAACTAAAATAATAAATAATAAATCATGCATTTAACTGCAATAAATATCCCAAATACAGCTAAATATGTTTAATTGTGTTCTCTGAAAACTATATATAATTAGATACATTGTGGTGAAAATTTAGACAATCATTTCTGGGGTCATTTAAAGTCAAAACAAGAGATGCAAAAAGCTCAGGTCTTCAACATCTTTATAAAGTAAAACTGAAACTGTGTCTGCGTGCGTGTGTGTGTGTGTGTGTGTGTGTGTGTGTGTGTGTGTGTGTGTGTGT